TAATAGTCATATTGTAAATAAACAACATAAAAATGTGACATAAATTAAAAATATGTTTTAAATATTGCTTACCAGAGCCTGCGTACCAACTACCAGCATGGGTTGCTCTTCTAATTAATGCCATTTTTCACTTTCTTACACTAATTTTTATTTCGTCCACTCACTTCTCTCGGTAAACCAGTCTTTGGCTTATCGATATTTTTATAAATAACTTACATAGAGCGTTCTTATTAAATCCTATTTAAATACAAAATGTTTATAAAATTCTATCACAAATCTTTATATTTAACCATGAACCATGCACTTCCAATACCGTCGAATGATACATTTATAGGTGTATCACATCCCCAAAAATATAAATTTCTGTATGCAAATAAAAACAAAAATGAGAAACCTACATTCAACCAAACTATAGGGTGTTCCAAAAATGTTGTAACACCTTGAAAGGGGTGGTCCGGGAGGTGATTTGAAACAACTTTTTCCTTAGCGAAAATGTTGTCCGAAGCTTCGTTGAAAAGATATTAACAGAAAACCCCGACCAGTCAGAGCACGAGTATGCCGTTGGAGCGGCCGCGCTCTGATTGGTCGGGGTAGCGTAGGCTACGCGCTCTGATTGGTCGGGGTACAGTAAGCTACGCGCTCTGATTGGTCAGTCTTTTTCGTTAATATCTCCTCAACGAAGCCTCAGACAACATTTTCGCTAAGGAAAAAGTTGTTTCAAATCACCTCCCGAATCACCTCTCCCAACTAGTGATTGGCAAAACCCTAGGCTTCGAATAAATCTAAAGCGTGCCGATATATTTCTCTCGTTTCCTCTTTTGAAAATTTTCCAAAGAAGGAAAAGAGACAACACATCGGCAAACTTCAGATTTATTCAAAACCTAGGGTTTTGCCCATCTCTGCGTTCCAAGGTGTTACAACATTTTTGGGACACCCTGTAGAGACAGTGAACAACAAATCCAATAGTCAAGTGCAAGGTTAAAAGTTGTTCACTTATTAAATCATACTATAAAATATCGGACTAATTTACATACCATAATTATTTAATTAATATTTCAAACAATTACAAACACCAATTTAAATTTCTTATCTATACGACATTATTGTTTAGTGTGTTTCAGTATTCAATTTGAATACATCGTAGAAATGGTTAAAATGGAAGAAATTCGTGTCTAGTGTTGTTTAAGTTTGTCAAACTGAATGACAAAACAGAAGTCTATTTGTTAAAAGTATTGTAGTGTGCATAAAAGTTTAATTGTTCGTAACGGTTTACGTAAAAAACATTTCCACACAAAATACTAAATACCTCAAACAACTTTTTCTTATCACATTTCATTTCAAGTCAACATCGACGTTTTTGTGTTTTTTTTTTTAGACTCATTTACTTTGTTTATTATGAATTTAATGAATTCTTTTGTGCAGTAATATAACGACGGATTCGATAATATAGGTAATCAAATTTGGCCCATTTTTCCTTCAATATTTTGATTACGTACATATTATAACCTTTGCTTTCTTTGTGCTTCTTACTGATTTCTATCATTACAATGTCAAAATCACCGACTATTGGTTCGATGCTTTTTCATAAATCTTATATCTTCTTTTGCAATCTAAGAGTGATCATAATATTAAAACACCGATAAAAATAACAAGGAACGATCTTTGAGTAACCATTTTCATTTATTAATATATCATACTTCAATCAGTGATTATAGTAACAAGCTGTTGCTGTTTGCAACTAGTCTGTTACCCTATTGATTTTCATGATTACGGGTTTATGTAGAAATATGAAAATATTCCAGAATAATATTCAGGTTGGTTTATAAGTATTTATAAGATACATATGTGTTAGCAACTATAAGTTCTAAGGCATCAGACTTTAACAAATATTATGCGACGCAAACATTGTGTTATTTAAAGTTGTTGCGAGTACGTATGTTTTCTCAGTTTGTACATTACCAGGTACATACAGTTTTATTTTCTATAAAACCGTTTTTTGTAAATTCAACGATTCATTCAAGAAACTTAGAAAGCTATTCGATACGTAATCAAAAACTGATGCTATATCAATTTCTTTTATATTATAACAAAATAGAACAAAATAATGTCTTCATGAAAATGAATCGTTTGCCTGTTGATAGGTCTATTCTTGTTTCCCGTCTTCGATTTTGATATGACCATTACTGCAGCATTACGATAAAGAGGTAATGCTTAAGGAAATACAATTGAAATTTAAAGAAAAAATGCTTTATGGAATGGCTAGTAACGAAGTATTTGTATTATAAAATTTTTGTTTTTGCCTGGTTGTTACAGGTTGCTACTAGGAGTTATTGTCATGGATTTTCTTCGCTTCCATGAGATTGAACAACTTACAAGTGGCACAATAGAAAACAAGTGATTGTGGTAATTGACATAAAAGTGCATTGGTGTGCCCCAGCAGGTACTTTGTAGTGGAGCCACCAGGCTATGGCCAACCTGAACTTTGAGCAGCCACCACGCAGTATTGCGAACGCAAGCCTTACATCGCGCGCGGGTGGTGGGGGGGGCTTAAATTCGTCGACCCTGACGGGTCATGTCACACCTACCTCGGGCATGTTCTCAGGCTCGTCTACAAGCACATCAAGTTCAGCCAATTCTGCGGTAGTAGTTACTAACGTTTACCCTGGAGCATCTGGAACCGGAGGTGGACAAACTAATCATCAACCTCAGCAGCAACAGCTCTCTCCTATGGGCAGCAGAGGACTGTTCGGACAAAGAGCTTTTACAGATAGACGTACAATGCCAGCTCTTGGGTTAGTGTTCTTGCTTTGGGTAGTTATAACGATCTTCTTCGTATTTGTAATATTGCTTGTGATAATACAATATATTTTGTTACATGCTTGTTGTATGGTGATATTTCATATGAAAAAATGAAAAGTTCATACACATTTATAGAACCTCGAATCCAATGGGTAGCATGGGCACTTTTGGAATACCGCAAAGTCGTAATTACGGATCTCAAGGACAGATTAATAATTTTCACTCTGTTTTTGGCAGTGGAGGAGGTGGAGATACAAGTACTCCTCCATTGTTGGATCTATCTGAGTTTCCTTCATTAACAAACAGGGGACAGGGTGATTCTATGCCGCAACCTAGTCCTATGCCAGGAAAACAACCTTACGGTTCGTATTGACAGTAATTTTAGTGTTAAAGAAGATATGCACTTATGTTGTAGGCAGGGAGTCATGTATGAAATTGGAACTAAAATACTTATTCATTGATTTTTATTTCGAGATGACCAAAATTCTGACTGTAATACTCTAGGGAAATGGTATTTCAGTCACAGATCTGTAACTATAGTTTAGCAATAAGTGTATCAAAATACAAACTGTCGTATGATATTTTGATAACCAAAATTATCTTTTTAAACAGCATTTCATTTTTAATTTTAAATCTGTAACTGTATGGACTTCTAATATTATTATTAATTTCATTTATGAAATTTACTACCTGTATTGAAACTTCAGTAATAACTTTGAATCTAGCTATATATATGTAACTAAGTCTTACATTGAATTTCGATCGACACTATAACATTTTTTAATGAATTTTGGCCAAGATTTGTAACTAATTGAAAATCTCATGAATTTCCAATTAAGAGAATCATTACTTAATTGTTCCAATTTCGACTTCCTGGTCATAAGTAAAAATTATTAGTTAAATATAATGTATGTATGTTACTATTTACCCTAAAATTCAAAGTTACGATGAATATGATTGTTACATACATTATATAAATTATAGTTGGAATGGTAAAACAACCGACGTCTGAATCAAGTGAATTTACTATGAGTTCTGAAGATTTCCCAGCATTGCCAGGAACTCAAAATAGAGAAGGGCCATCACCAGGTGGAAGTGTATCTGGAGACAAGAGTATACCTGTTGGACTCGGTCCTGAAATTGGACAAGATGTTCTGCAGGCGAACAGAGCACCTGGATCTGAAAAGTCCCAATCATCTAAAAGAGGCATACAAACATCTCCCGATGGTATTGAAACTACTTTATCACGTTAATTGTCGCGTCACCCACGTATGAGTGATAGTGTTTTTCACTGAAGAACTAAAAGAATTAATTCTGCAAAACAATGTGTCAAAAAAAACTAAATTTGAATGAAATTACTATGTAGTTTCCAATAGTCTATAAACAAAATTTAATCCCAATAGACATTTTTAAAAGTATTGGGCTGGTAGTCAATTTTATTAACCAGTATTATTAACCAGTTGAATATATATATAATTTATTGTACGATAGTTTTGGTTCGTTATAATACATTTGAGAATTCTCTGCGAATGATTTATACTTATCAATTTTATTATTACGTTTTGTAGGCAAAGTAACCAATATACCAGCAAGTATGGTTAAGGATCAGTTCGGAATGGTTGGACTTTTAACGTTTATTAGGGCAGCTGAAACAGATCCAAATCTAGTATCTCTGGCACTAGGCCAAGATTTAACTGCGTTAGGATTAAATCTTAATTCGCCAGAAAATTTATATCAAAATTTTGGTGGACCTTGGGCTGAAACACCGTGTCGACCTCAAGACATTGATTTCCACGTGCCGCCAGAATACCTTATTAATGCCGCTATCAGGTACCTTATTTTTTGTATTGCAAATGACTATCGATAACGCAAGAAGTATCGCTATGGTAATTAAACTTTGTTTGTGTTACGTTAATTCTGTTCTAGAGATAAACTAGCACCAGTTAAGCTAAATCGGTACAAGGATGATCTACTATTTTATATGTTTTATACAAATGTTGGAGATGTGCTGCAATTAGCAGCGGCAGCGGAGTTGTAAGTAACGATTGAACCTAAGTATTTCACTATTTATTGATAGAATTAATGTTATACTTGTTCGTTCAATTCTAAAGGTACAGTAGAGAATGGCGATATCATATGGAAGAAAAGGTATGGATAACGCAAGCGCCAGGATTAGGACTTGTAGAAAAAACTTCAACATATGAACGTGGTACTTATTATTATTTTGATGCGCAAAGTTGGAGAAAAGTAGCAAAGGAATTTCATTTGGATTATACAAAACTAGAAAGTAGACCTCATCTTCCCACAAACTTTCACCAAACCCAGCCTTGACTACAGGTACCTATAAAAGAATAATTAATTCTTACATCACTGCTATCGTAAGAAACGAACATCGAATAACGATACGAAATCTATATTTATTCCAGATCTGCTTGCAGACGATTGTGCTGTCTTTAAGCTGGACAGGAAACAGCTATTGTATAAATGAACAAATTTAATAATCTTTAATAAAAACATAAAATTTGAAGAGTAACAAAAACGAAGTTCTTTAATTAATTGCTCATAGCTAGAAATGGGAACGAGCCTGATGTATTTACACTGGTTGACATTAAATTTTTCATGACGTCAAAAATGCTCAAACATTGCTAGCAAATAAGTCTATTCGTCGTCGACTGCTACGCGAAATGCAGGGATGACACTCGTAACAACAATTTTAGTTTATGTTGCATCTGTCATTTTTGACCGAGCAATGTTTCATCAAGATGCGCAAATCAGGATAGATATCAAGAAAACAGTGTAGATTAATGCTAGAGAAATTACAAGGATTAACATTTTTTACAATGGAATAACTTAAGGACGACAAAAATGTTTGTTAATTTCCTCTTTATTTTTACTCGTATTAACTATTGCATTAATTATAAGACAATGATACTTTTAATTTGCACTCGTGCACTCGTTAATTTAAACAAATCTTCCTTTAATCTTACCAGTAGAATGTATATATAGGCGTAAAAATGGAAAGAGGAGCCATTGCATAACGTGCAACATTTTTCTTGCACAGAAATAATGTATGCAGCATAAACCAAAGTCTTTGAATAGTGCACTATGTAGCAGCAGTCAACGACGAATAGTCTTCCGTATACCTACCTTGCGTGTACAAGGCGTGAAGAATAAAGCTCGCTTCTCTGATGGTGATGCTCGTGCAATTGTGACGTCACGATATGTTTTGTATCACCTAGTGAGCATGATATTAATATTTGACAGAATTTATGTAAATGATTTTCGTATATGACATCGCAGATTTGAAATGTATAGATACTTATAATATAAAATGAAATACTTTCTGATGATATCACCGTTTATGGAAGTGTTTAGAATCATTGTAATGTACATAATAAATATGGTAAAAGCTGCAAGTGTAAATGAAATTCGAGCAATTAAGTAACTCAGAATTTAGTGGTTCCGTAAATTCTGTATCTATGCAGACCATTTTTTGCTTAGCAATTTATAGTAAATATTTTTGTTTTCAATGGATCAACCACGATATAGACAATACATCAACATGAATAATTTGTTTGTTCATTTTAGACTGTCAGATTTTGATATTTAATCGTGCTTCACTTACTATCATCAATCCAATAACTCGTAAGTAATGAATTGGTACATAATTATTCGCCGTTTTTTTTTAAATTTTATTATGAAAAAAGAAACATAAAAATTCAACAGAAACAAGTTTAGTTGTTTATTCTGGAGCGTATTCATCATCTACTTCAATTACTGCTTTCCATTTGCTTGGCAGACAGTCTATTCCACGCTCTAGAATAAACAATTAAACATGTTTCTGTTAAATTTGTATGTTTCTTTCTTCATAATAAAATAAAAAAAGAAACTACGAATAATTATGCACCAACCCAATATTTATTACGCTAAATTTATTAAAACTTTCAAATAATGAAAGGTTTAATTCCAGTTGAAATTAGAAACTATAGAATTGTTTAAAAGAACTATCTATATATTATATAATCTTACCCACATATATTTCTCGCAAATGCCATTTTCTTCATATTATTTTAAGTTTTATTCCATAACTTTTCTTGTTGCATAGCAAGATTAATTACACCTTCAGATGCATTTATAAAATAATTCTCAATATAATTTTGACTATTCTTTTCGCATTCGTTTAAGTAGTATCTGTCGATAAACAAAAGTATATTATCAGATAAATCATTAATTATTTCACACTTAATTAAATTAATGATCGAATTACCTATAATTTATCATAATGCTACAACTATTTGCAACACCGCGCGGCGAAGGATCAGCCAACCAATTTATTCTCCACATAACTGCTCCATTACGAAGATGAAAATTCGCTACAGAAAACAAAAAAAAATATTTCGTTGAAATTCGCGAATAAACATATATATATGACAATTCGAATTAATTTTATATAATTAACATACCAACATTATTTAAGGCATAATTCCGTCTTTTTTCTTTATACAAATACCATGCACATGCTCGAATTAATGGCTCTCTTAAAATTTCGCATAATTCTTTATCATTGGTCCACAGTGAATTATTAAGTATCTTTCTTACGTTAAGTGCAACATTTTCTTCTTTTAAAAGATCTTGTATAGACCTGCATTCTTCACCCGTAAAGATACAATTCACATCTAGAAAAAAAGTATTTAATACGCGCATATAATATTTTTCTTTACTTTGTGCGAACAAATTAAAATTACCTTGTTTTAATTTTTCAAGGAGCCAACTTTTAAAATTCGGTATCGGTGATAAAGTAGATAATTCATGTATCATAGGAAATTCGGATATCACTTCGTTTGCTACTTCTTTTATCAAGTAATTACCAAGTTCAATTCCCTAAAAAAAAAATGTTTTCTTTTTTCTCCTCATCGATGTCTTATGAAAATATTTTTACTAAAATTATTTGATATTCTTATGGTTTATTTACTTTTAATCCTTTCTGTGTAGAAGCTATGGAATAAAATAATGCTGTTTTTATTTTAGATTTGTCTTCTTCCAGGAATGTTATTTCTTTTCTTACGCTACCAAGGATTCTGGTCTTTGCTTCTTCGATCCCTTTTACACTGTCTTTAAATTGATATTTCGGTATAATTTATTTTATTTATAGAATATCGGTCTTCGATATATGTGCATACCTGGTATTACATCGCATAACGCTGTATGTAACACGACAAGTGGTTCCCTTGGCATAGATGGATGAGTAAAAACATAGCATCTCCTGTAAGGTCCAACCCTTTGTTTTAAATCCAGCCAATTCTTTATAGGATGTATCGCTTCATAATCTGAAATCTTAACATTCTTAGATAGTTATCAACATTGTAGTTTATTAATTAATCGCAACAAATGTGTACCTTTTGTAACATGTCGCATGCACTTTGCCAAGTTATTCTCTCTAAATGTAAAAAACCTACTGAAAACCAGAGTAATAATAAATCTCGTAATGTAACATTTAACTGTTGTATTAAAACATTTTCATCGCTTTCTTTGGTTTCCAACATTAACTCCTACCAAAAATATTAATATAAAAACAGATAAGACAAAATACTTCTTATTATTAAAAATGTATATAAAACTCAATTTATCAATTTTTGACAAGTACGCATAATTAGAAATCAATTTGTTCGTATTACTTAAAAAAGCATATCTAGGAAATATTAATTGACTATGCTTTTGAATATATTTTCAAAATAATCAATAATTTAAATTTTAATCATATGAGATATTAAAGTTTTAAATTGAATTAATTATATTAGTTAAAGAAATGTTGATTTCTTTGGAATATTTACCAAAATATCTGTTCTTAAATCAACAAGAAATTTTACACCACTTTCAAGTCTTCCAATAACAAGAAACAGCCATTGATAATCTGGTATGAGAATGTTTTTTAAGCTTTGTTCGTAAGAAACCATTCGTCTTTTATTGTCAGGCTAAAATAAAAATACTTATTTTCTTATATTCTTTGAAAAGGTGGTATAAAACCAAATATACAAACCTCTGTACAGACTAACTTCTTTGCTATATTGCATATGTTATCATGCTGAACAGCATACTTGGCTGCTAATAAGTTTAAAAGCTGTTGTCTGTCCTCTTTTTGGCTTTTGTAATATCCAATGCATAAACTACGAGCTTTGTTCTGAAAAAAATTAATGTTATCACATTGTAGTTATTAAATTAAGATTTTAAAAAGTTTGTATAAGTGGAGATTAAATTTGAATGTACAGAAATAAATGATTCATATGTTAGTTACTTTCTTTCAAACTAACAGGTAATGCTGTATTCAAATATATTAGAAATAGAACAAAGTAAAGTATTTTATTATAAAGACATTTGTTTATAGAAGAAAATAAATTATTCAGACTATATTCATTTTTATTACATGTTTGTAATGAGAAATTAAAATAGTATTGTTTTAAACATAATACTAACCTCGATGATCCAATTACTGACATTAGTATTTCGAAATTTGAAAACTTCGTTCAATTGTTCTTCGAGAAATGTCACATTTTTACAAAACGTCGATGCCCTTCGACTACACCAAAATTTAAAATCCTTTACATTGCACATTGAAAGAAATTTGTCATTGCGAGTAAATTCTAAAATTCTCAAATGAATATTCGTGGATATCATGTTTGATATTGTTAAATTTGATAATGGATAAGTATAATTTTGAAGTATAATTGATATCTATTTTATCTATTCGATTTAAGGTTACATCAAATGATAAATATTTCTCATTTGATTTACATGTTTGATCAAACAATACATAATGATCTGTATGAATCAATGAAAAGTTTAATTGGTTTAAATCTTTCAAAATTTCTGGATGAATCGATGACATGGTATGACACGAATTCATGCCTCGTAGAAGGAAATTCATCATTTTCCTTCGCGGCAAACGTTTTGATTGGTAACTGTTGGTAACATGTCTAGTAACTTTATGTCACTAGATATATTCACTACATTATATAGGGTGTCCCAAAAATGTTGGGGGTCCTTGAAAGGAGTGGATCGCGGGGTGCTTTGAAACAACTTTTTCCTTAGCGAAAATGTTGTCCGAAGCTTCGTTAAGAAGATATTAACAGAAAACACTGACCAATCAGAGTGCGTAGCCTACCCTATCGCGGGCGCTCCACCGTCATACTCGCGCTCTGATTGGTCGGGGTTTTTCGTTAATATTTCCATAACGAAGCCTCGCACAACATTTTCGCAAAGGAAAAAGTTGTTTCAAATCACCTTCTGAACCGTCCCTTTCAAGTAGTTACAACATTTTTTGGACACCCTGTAATTACCCAGAACTCCTATTCTTACCCTTTTCGCCCTACAAAATATTACGCAATTTCAAAATATATAAATAAATCATAAAGTAATCATGTGACTGCCAAGTACCACCGATACATATCAGTGCCAAGTACAGCCTTCACTACTGTATACGAATTAATGCCAATTCATGTGTATATTAATATACAGTCAGTGAAATAAGCATTCGTACAGGAACCATTTATTTTAAATTGGTTGCTGTACGAATACTTCTTACACTGATTGTATGTCTAAATAAAATGGATCAATATGTTTTTCATGTCTAATACGATGTTTTTAATTAATTCTAAGTGACGTTACTGGTTGTACCTATACTGTGGTGTAGGTACGATGTTGGACGCATGCGCAGAGAGGACGAATATCATTTTATACTTTATACCTTTCTCTCTCGTTTAGACATTCGGCCAGTGATAGACATTCGTGGGATTTTTCCTTCGAGGAATTCCTTTCTGCGCATGCATAAGCTGACGTCACAGCTACATGTCGTCTGCTACCATACATGTATCCGAACCGCCAGAGGAGGTGCATTTAAGGGGGCTGTGCAATTTTCCCGCATTTTTAACGGACAAATTAAATACAAGAGTGTTAGTGTTCGTGAGTGTAATATTAGGGAAAATTAAAAAAAAATGGATAATGAATCGCAGCCGTCCACGTCAGGAATCATCGAGGAAAAGAAAAGGACATTATATTTTGTTCCTTACTGGGATCCCATGGTACCCTAAATTCTAAGTAAGTGTATACAGCGGTGAGGACTGCAACACTCGCTCCAATACGCATGATCAGGAAAAATCCCACGAATGTCCCTCACTGCGTAGCGCCCCTTCAGAGGCTTAAAATTTTTAAGAAAAGAAGACAAGGTAATAATATCAAACGATGAATCTGTAGCTAGATTGTAAAGATTGTTAAACTACAATATATAACAGCTTTACTAATCTACACCGGACTGCGATGCCCCTAAAAATCTGACGTCCTGGGCGGTTGCCCGACCGCGCCCCCCTTCCTCCCCTAACGCCAACCCTGATGATAACTTTATAATTATAACCGAGATTTGATCGAAAATTGATTTCGTTCAAAATAAAATTTTTTTTATCAATGACAACTTTGTAATTATAATCGAGGTTCGATCGAAAATTGATTTCATTCGAAATAAAATTCTTTTTATCGATGACAACTTTGGCCTTCCTTATCCTGAAAAATACAGGATGTTCCAAAACTGTTGTAACAGCTTGAAAGGGGTGTTTCGGGAGGTGATTTGAAACAACTTTTTCCTTTGGGAAAATGTTGTCCGAGGCTTGGTTGAGGAGATATTAACGGAAAACACTGACCAATCAGAGCGCGCGTGGAGCGCCCGCGGTAGCGTACGCTCTGATTGGTCATTGTTTTCCGTTAATATCTCCTCAACCAAGCCTCGGACAACATTTTCCCAAAGGAAAAAGTTGTTTCAAATCACCTCCCGAAACACCCCGTTCAAGGACCTCCAACATTTTTTGGACACCCTGTATACTCAAAGCTCAAAGGGAACGGCACCAAACCGATGGCAACCAATAGCAACTAAGTCATAAACTACTCAGAGAGGTGTGTGATAGGTGCAGAAAATTGATAACAGCGCCACAAGTGATACGGCGCATGAAACAAGAAGCGACCCTACTTTTCGTCGGAGTGCCCGCTACCCAGTCCCTAACTGAATGATATAGTCACTTGGTGTTTTTCAGTTTTACGTTTTACGATTGCAGTGTTTTGTTCGTAATGTCTTACTTTTATCAGAATCGGTACATACGTATGTGTACAGGTTAGATATCCGATGATGTGGAGATCTCTAAAAGATATCACATGAAATCTAACATACCCCACAACATGTCAGAAGTTGGGAATCATGTTTGTATGTGCTCCATGAAAATACGTTTATCGCTTGCATTATTTAAATATACTCATTTTGCAGTGAGTACTCGTAGTTAGTAGGTAATCATTTCATTTTTATTCCGATTTTCATTTATTCTTTAATATTAATTCTTAGACCCGTGAATATTTTTAACGTGATCTTAATTAGCTTGATGTTGAGCGTCTTATTATACGACTACTTTTACTAACCTATAATGACAAAAGAGGTCTACTTTTCTACATTTCTATATTCTTAATCCATGTACTTCTGTATGAATACTATTTGTAATTTATATATCGCATATATTGTAAAATATCGGCGAATCTGTTTGGATATTTAGTCTTTTGAAAAAAATTCTATATGGAAAACTCGGAAATTTCGTTCTGTATATATTCCTGTATACATAGCGTATGTATGGATACGTGTACGTGTGTATGTGTGTGTATCATATTGAATCTTCTTTAAAGCAGATCATAATTTGCATTTATTTTTATTAAAAGTTCAAATATATCTCATATATATATTGTAAACATGTAACTGATCTCTTTAGTTTCTCCTTATCTCATATTTTCTCATACTTTTATATTTTTTACATTTATTACAACAATTTATATTTACATCACATTTTCATTGTTATATTATTATCTATTGTTTAACAATCATGAACAACCATACAATAATAAAATCATGCTATTAACACGAATATACAAATTTTATATATAGTAGTATTATTTTTAATAAGATTTGTTTCAGAGTTTTGTTAGAGAATTAGAAATTATTGTATTAATTTTTATATTATTGATTGTGCATATTGTATTTTTATAATATATCATGCAGTATAACCAATAAGTTTAGAATCTGTGATATAATACATATATAAGAGTATTAACGTTCTAATTTTATTTAGGAGTCGTTTAAATTTTAAATGCTGCATAAAGTTTCGCATGTTAAAACACGTTAGTGTATACCAAGTTTATTAAAATATAATAGTCTCTTATTAAAACTTCTTGTGCTAAAGGAAAGAATAAAAGTGTTCATTATTATTACAAATAAATAAGTGCTTGTAATTATTGAATGGATATGATTATACGAAAGCATAAATTATCATGTATGCAAATTTTTCATCTTCTGCAGCATAAAAATATTTAATAATTGACGTACATTACAAATTTGAGCAATAAACTTTTGTATAAAATTGACCACTTATATATATTATGCTTTACACATATACTCAACATACAATGAATTATATTAAACAACATTTAAATATGCCATTTAACATTTTTTATGTTTTTCAAGAAAAAACAACAAATCTATAAAATTTATTTGTCATACTCATAATGCATACTTCAAGATAATTGTCGTAAGAAAGTTGTTGATCAATTGAAGATACTGAGAAACTTAATTTAACTCCTATTATTAATTAACGTATTTTTTATTATTTAATGAGAATTGTATTAGATCATTTATTACCATTGTTTAGATTTCTTTTCTAGTAGTATAGCGTTACAATTTTATGAAACTCTGATATAAGTAAATTTAACAAATCATTTTAAAAGAACTTAAAAGCATCAAAACTCATATGATGACATAAATTGTTTGGCATTTTTAGTACTATTTTAATAATTATAACATTTTAATTACACTGGTCACTTGTCTACACGTTCACTGTCCTCATCAGGAGGAATGGGCACCACTCGTATATCCCAGGAAGCAATAAGCTTATTGCATCATATTTAGCTTAACCTATATGTGGGTCAGCAAACTTTCGAGTCAAAATTGTTTTGATCCACATGTGGGACTGTGGACAGTGAATGTAATAACTTACAGGTTTGTCTGTACAACATAATGTAGGTATAGAAATAGATTCGTACATTTATTTTTTCTTTTATATTACATTCTTTATTCCAAACGGAGCATATAACATAAATGTTCGTAACATATTCTAATTATAAGTCAACATCATTTCTCCCAAATTCAAATAGTATGATTTAAAACATTACAAGGAGTGTAAAAGCAAACAAATTTGTTTTAATGATCGTGGTTCAATAATATCGATACTTATTATACAATCTTTTTATCTGAAAAATATGAAAAATCCTGTATGTTAATGAAATAATCTTAAGAAAGTTTATAGCGATTTGCTTAGTCTTTCAATTTTCTTTTGTAAATAATTTTACACGTATGTGTAGTTTCATTTTTTATTGTCTGCTTTCAGGATATATAAATAACAAAGATGTCGGTACATTATAAATTCAAATCCACTTTGGATTACGACACTGTGTCCTTCGATGGATTGCATATTTCAGTAGCAGATTTGAAAAAGGCTATTTTTCATCAAAAGCGTATAGGGAAAAATACAGACTTTGATTTGCAAATAACAAATGCGCAAACTAAAGAAGGTAATCGTTATAAGAAATTTTATTTCCTCTTTTAGAAAAATTGAAATGTACATTTTACGATATGTATCGGTACAGTAACGTGTAACATTAAAATTAATTTTTCAGATTATACAGATGATAATGCACTGATTGCAAAAAATACTAGCCTTATTGTTGCTAGGGTTCCATTAACAGTGCAGCAAAAGCGGTCATGGGATAGAAATGAAACTCCTTCGTTTAGTAACTTAAAAGATGAAGCCAGTCTTGGTCGAGCTGTAGATCTTACAAG